ACCCCCTACCTCCTTAACTTAAAATTTAGTTAGACAGAGAATGCAGGAGTGAAAATTATACCCCCAAGACCTTTCTAAAGGGCCAGAGCACCTGGCTAATACAAATGGCCTGCACTAACAGAGCTCAGAGGGGAGGAGAACCACTCCTGGCAGGCCACTGGGGAAGCTTCCCAGGGAAAGGGGAGCATGAACTGGCTGTGGAAGGAGGTTGGGCCCTCGTGGTTACCTGGGGGAGGGGAGAAAGCCACATAGGAGACTGGAGAGCGTGAAGAGGATGGGAGACAGACCCAGGACAGTTTGCTTCCTTGGATGTGTCCCTGATGGTACGTTGCTCTTCCTCCTGGGAGAGAGCACCTTTTTCTCCACCCTGATGTCACTGGTGCCTGGTACAGGACCCTGCATAAAGTGGGTGCTCAAAGACACCGACATAGGAACTCAGGTTGGATGGGATAGTCCAGACCCTCCCTAAGGAGTTGAGATTTTTGTCCTGAGGGCTATGAGGACTCCTTTGAAGTTTTGATAGACACAGTGGCTGGACGATTGTCATGGCTGGACCTGGCGGCTGGGAAAGCCTTAGAGAAGCTGGTTATTATTGCAATCAACCAGGCCTGAGAAGTGGGAGGGACAAGGGGTGGGGGCAGGAAGAATCGCTGAAAAGAAAGGCTCCGGAAAGAAGCAGCAACCAGTTTGGGAACCAACTGAAGGTGGAAGAGGACCAGAGCTGCAAGTGCACGTGTCCAGCGAGCAAGTACGAGACGTTGAGGAGAGAGTCTGGCCAGACGTGAGGCAGCAGGGAGTGGTGGGGACTGTGGCAAAGAGGACGGCATAGGACAGAGCCGTGACTCAGCACCAGGTGCTTGTTACATGTGAGAGTTTGGGCCAGAGTTACCAGATTTTCAAGTTTTGTGTGTGAGATCATCCATGTTCTCAGTATTGGCAGCTACTTCGTATTATATAAAATAATTAAAACTTCACAGGCCACATAAGATACTTCCATGAGCCAGATCGAGTCCTTGGGCTGCCACTTGGAGACCAAGGAGTGTGTATGTGTTGGGGGTGGAGTGGGGAGGGGAGAGAATGCCCAAGGTCACTGAGGTTTCAAGCTCAGGCCACCAGGAAATGGTGTGCCCTTGCAACGGAACTGGGAAGTCGGAGGAGGGGCAGGGAGTGGAAGACACTGAAGTGACCTGGACAGTCACTTGACAAGGGAGGATACAGACTGACGAAAACAGCCCATGGGGGGAAGCGGCT